CGGAAAATGTATTTTTGGCAGGAATTCCAGTCTCTGGGCGCTTCCATGTTGATTAGGAGTCTGTCTCTGATCGGAGGGAAGGGAACTTCTGTGACCCAGGACCATAGTGTGCGAGCTAACGCCCACACCTTCTCTGCCTCCGGGCATGAGATTAAGCAGTGGACCATCGTTTCCAGAGCCCCACCCGTACACAGGGTACAGTTTCGTTCCTCCTCTGTCCTAGCTTGCCTGCTTCTTCTTTCATACAACCAAGAGTTGACTGGGAGGGCCACGTGGAGGATGAGCCATTGTAGACTTCTGACCTTACCCAATCTTATACTGTGAAGGGACGACCAGGGCAACTTCCCCACCTGGTCTCTTGGTATCCCCTCCCTCTTTTCCCATCTTAAGGCTAGGGGAAGGTCCAGATGGGTCGATCTTCTCCTCAGCCCATAACCCAGTCTCGTTGTATAGCGGAGAATGTTAATCTTCGTTGTCACTTGTGTCTCTCCACCCCTAATATTCCATGCCCATTCCGCCGGGTCGTACTCCAAATCTTCAATGGCCACCGTGGGTGCAAATACTGTAAATTCGTCATCCTCTACCACCCTGATCTTCCTGAGCAGGCACTTCTTAACTGTGATTGCTGTCTTGGATTCCTTATCCAGGTGACTCACTGTGATTCCCGGATTATGAATTACGAACATCTCTGCATCAAGCCACTGTTTGTCGGGGCCCACGTCCCGCTGCACCTGGAAGGCCTGCTCTGGAACTGCACTTATATGCCAGGTCGCCCAATCACCCCATTCCCATTTGCACGGCCCTCTCAATAACTGCGTCCATTCTTGCGGAATGGAGATTAGAACATCATTTAGATTCTCCGTAAGCTTATGACAACCTTTCATCGTGGCTCTCAGTTCCCTCCCTGTCTTCCATCTATTATCATTCTGGGACCATAAGTGCTTGATCTGCCAGACCCCRTGTTCCAWCCAATTCCCCCATCTGGTGTYCCTAGCTGTTAGTGTCCTCGGCTTCCCTTGGGAATCCTGTAACCAGGGGTTACAGAACAAGGGTTGCCTGAGGACTTCCTCCTTGGATCTAGGTTTYCGTACTCTAGYCGGGAATATCTCTTCCCATATCCTAAGAATCTGTGCCCAGTATGATGGGGAGGAAGTTCCCTCCTCACCCCCCCGCTCCCTTGGCCTACCCCTTTTTGCCCACCCTTTGCAGAATATCCAGAAGGTGCCYTCCATATTTGKAGGAGTTGAGAACTTCGAAAGCCCTCGTATGTGCTCCAATACTAGGGGGACCCAGCGCAAGTGGGGTTGCGTTACCAGCTTGATAATCCATTTTGATTGGAGTGCCTTAATCTGCTGCTCTGGATCCAGGATGCCCAGTCCCCCCCGATTCTTTGTTTGTGTTACTTGTTTCCAGGCTACCTTAGAAATGAAGTTATCCTTGGTCGGGTTCCCTGTCCACAGATAGGCTGCTGCAACCCTTCGGAGCCTTCAAAGTGTTGAACCTGGGGGTGACCACAGGGTGCCCGCATACCATAGCATGGAGAAGATGGAGGCATTGAGGACCAAGACTCTCCCGTACAGGGAGGTATAAATGGTAGACCATGCGTCCAGCTTTGCTAGCATTTTGGTCATTTGATCAGGGGCCATGGAGTGATGTGGGCCCTCGTCCGCTAGCCTAATCCCCAGATACCTCAACGGTTGGTGTGAGGGTAGCCACTCCATTCCCCCATGGTCAGGGGGCTTGAGCTGCTGGTGTTGCTGGTCGTATATTAGCCACCATCCTATCGTTTTGGGCCAGTTAATTCTCATTTCCGATGCCAACTGGAATGTTTCCATCGCTTTTGTGAGTGCTTGAAAAGAGGAATCCGTGGCCCTGATGAGTACTGTGAGATCGTCCGCGAATAGTATCGTGGTGGGTAATTGTATTATACGCCCGTGCTGATCCAATTCTGCTATTAGACGGTCGATTGAAGGGTCTTTCCTAAGGAATGAAGCTATGGCTTCCATGATAAAGAGAAAGATGGGGGCGGCTAATGGGTCACCTTGCCTCACTGATCTAGTCATTCTGTATCTATCTGAAAGATATCCGTTGACTTGTACCTGGCCATGTGAATCGTTGTATAATACTCTCACCCACTTGCGAAACTTGGGACCTACTCCCATTTTCTCCATACATTGCTGAAGAAAAGGCCAGCTGACCTGGTCATATGCTTTTTCGAAATCAAAGAAGAGGATGGCCGCGTTCATTCTCTTGTTCGCTATGAATCTCACCGATTCCGATAAAGTCATCACGTTGTCCAGGATGAATCTCCTTGTGATAAAGCCTGTTCGATCCAAGTGGAAGCAGTTGGCCGTTAGCCTCCTCAAGCGGCTCGCTAATGCTTTGGCCACTATCTTGTGTGTTAGTGTCAGGAGTGTAATCGGTCTGTAACTTTTAATGTCCCTAGGGTTTCCCTTCTTATACAATAAGGTGACTACCCCTGTTGATGATTCCATTCCCATGCCTTCGTTGATCCATGCCTGGTTCAAGAAGGTTTCGTATTCCCCTCCCAAGATTTCTCAGTACTCCAGCCAGAACTCCCTTGTTAGTCCATCCCTGCCCGGCGTTTTGTTTGGAGGCATTGTATCTAAAGCCCCTCTCTGCTCTTCTTGCGAAAGCGGGGCGTCTAGCATCTCTGCCTGGACCCCATTCACCGTGCGGTCCAGGTAGGCTAGGAATTTATTCCAAACTTCCTTTTCCTGTCTTGGATCCTGGTCCCCTTCTCTAGACCTATAGAGTGAGGTGTAGAAGCTACTGGCTACTTACAACAACCCTTCAGGATATGACACTACTCCCTGAGAGCCTTCCATCTGCTCTATTTGCGAATTCCTACCTCTGGTTTTAATCTTTTGAAAGAAATACTTTGTCATTCGTTCTCGTTCTTCCCATTCTTTTACTCTTGCTCTCAACCGCATACCCCTAGCCCTCCAGCGTTCCCAGTCCCCTAACTCCCTTCTTGCCTCCTCTATTGTGGTTTCGTATAATTTCGTGCCCGGGTTGCTGATACGTAGGGCTTGCCGAAGTTTCTGTTCCCTAGCTTTCCTTCTGGCTGCTAACTGCCTGGCCATTGCTGACGATGCTTGCATTAGTGCATTGATTAAATCAGGGAACGACTGTGAGTCGCTGTCGTGGTCCAAGCATACCTGTAGTATGGCCTTTCTTAGCTCTGGAGTTTTTAGTAGGGAATTGTTTATCTTGTAGAAACTTCTGCCCCTCTGGATATGTTTATTTAGGGTCAGCTCTAGTGTCACAGGTTTGTGATCTAGACATGTGCAGTGCGGCAGATCACCTATTTCGATCGAGTGAATAGATCCTATCAGCTCTTCCGATACTAGGAAGTAATCTATTATAGAGGCTGACATGTGCTGGCTGCGATTCCTTTTGTAGTAGGTGTATTGTTTCAGGTTTGGGTAGTGGAGGCGGAAGGGGTCAATAAGCCCCTGGGCTATCATGAGTGCGTGAATTGGTAAGGCCTCTTCACCCGGAGGCTCATCCCCTGATCCTGATCTTCCGCCCATTATCCTATCTAAACCTGGTTCAAGAGTGGCATTCCAGTCACCTGCCAGTATGACATGTCTCGTTGACTCCAAGTGGGATTGTACTGACTGAAGCATTTCTGCTCTACTTTGGTAGGAGTTGTGGCAATAAACTGTGACTAACGAGAATTGTTCCTCCTGGTAAGAGAAGTTGAGCTTCACCCATCGACCCTCCTCCTCATCCGTCGAGGCATCTAACAGAGACAACTTGTTTGCTGCCACCGACCTCCTATTTAACAGAATTACCACCCCTGCTGAGTGCGGTCTATTTGCCACGGCCCAAAAACTAGCCTTCACCCATCTGACTTGCTTTTCTATACGTTGCTGCGTCTTTTGATGTGCCGGCGAGTCAGTGAGGTGGGTTTCTTGAAGACATAAAAAGTCTGGGGGGTTCCTCCCGAACCAATCCGTGGCCCTTAATAAATTATTCCATTTATCCTTATTGTCTAAAATTTGTGCCATGCCATTAACATTCCAAGACACAATTCTGATTTCCGGTTCCCTTCCCCCCTCTCGTGACGATAATCTTCTTCTCTTGGTTCTATCGTCCATCACTACCCCTGCCATCTATAGTATTCCCTGAATATGGTCCATTAATGAGCATTTCTTCACGAGCCCTCTTGTGGCCACTCCCAATCAGCCGCCACGGCTGCTAACAAAGTGTCCATGCCCTCTGGCGTCCTCGAGAAAACATTTGCCTTGGAGAGGATCGCTGCTCCCCTAGCCACCCATTCCGCTGCCTCTGTGCCCCCCAATAGTCCATATGGTATTGCCTCCACCACCTGCCAAGGCATCCATATTAATCCCTCTGCCAACTT